TGTGGCGGCGGCGGCGACGGCAGCGGCAGCTTACGTAACCGTAATTGCTACAGCACAGCTTCTTGGTCATCGCGATCGTTTTGTGATTCATCCTTTGAACAATAATCGTACGATTAATTTCATTCCATTCGAGTCTCCACACCGAGTTTGCATCCTGCGAAACGTCTGAAACGTGAAAAAAGGATGTATTACGCGCGCTGCTTGAATGTACTTCCGACTCGAGCTGCGAGATGCGACCAAAGAGAGAGATTGCTCGAAAGTGAAGCATCGCCGCGGAAAAAAAAAAGAACACCCTTCTGCGGAAAAAAAAAGAAAAAAGAACACGCAAACATTGAACGTGACCCGGTTTACCTAGGTTATTCTTAGGCATAGCCATTCGTTTGAAATTCTGCGCGCGCGGCCGCGCGTCCCTCTACCAGCACACGCACGCACGAATCGCACCGAGACAATTGAAAAAATAACAGTAACCGACAGCTGTTTCGCGTAGTTCTCGACGTCGGAGAGAATTAATGAAATCTCAGAATTAATCGATCGTCACAGTGGAGAGAAGACGCGCCAGATCCCGTTCAATTCCGATCAGCAATGTATCTCTGTTGTTGTTGTTGTTGTTGTCTTTGCGAAAGAAATCGACGAAGAACGCTATATAAAGCTATACTCTGAAATTAATCGAAACATATTACGTTTTCGTTCAAAGGACGAAATCGAGTTGAGCTAGCCTGACTTTCGCTTGCTCGCCCAAACATTTTTATACACTTGTATGACGTGTATCATTAAATTATTAGGTCTCTTTCTCACGTATATACAGTGTCGTTTACGAGTGTCTAGTATATCCATCCTTCCTCGGAGAGAACACGTACGTCTCAATTAATTATTACTACTCGTCAGTGTAGTACTATTTTATACATAAAGGGTAGCATTTTTATTCCTCGTAAATATTCTCGTAGTAGCGACTGCTACAGAGTGTTGCAAAATTCATCTTCCAAACGAAATCGAGGAGATTCTTTCAAATTTCAGCAACCAAGAGAGATATTTAAAGCAACGCACGTAATAAGTAAACTGAGCAGGAAGATCAAGTTTATAGTTTGCTAAATTTGTAAAAATGTCCCAACTGTTGATACCATCGGCCAAGTGTGTCAACAACTTCGATCGAATCACACAATAGCGATACGAATGTTCAAATATTTACTTACGCCAGTGCATATTTATCGCATTTGTCGAACGACGATTTCAAATCTTGCTCGTGCTATATTTTAGAATTATTTCTCTCTTTTTGTACGTTTTATCGTTGTTGTTGCTCGATAACTTGTAAACTTAAGATTCGGACAATGAACATGGACCGAATTTTAATTGGTGCACGAGGTACTACGTGCCTAATTTCCAAATCTGAATCCGAGTGGCTCTAAATGTGTTGGCACTATAAAAGTATAAAAATCACGTGATGGAAGACGTGTTCTCTCCGTGTTATTGAAATTCTTCAACTTTCCGGAGGACAAACGTTATTTCCACGTTTCTCGGATGAATCATTCGTGTTTGCGTCAGAATTCTTTTCTTCCCTGGTGTCTTAAAAAAAAAAAAAAAATCTTTGAAAATCCGTTTGCCAAATAACTCCCGAACTTCTTCTCACCCGAAGGAAGAAATGTCCTTTTAAAAATTTCTACGCCAGTGTTTCGAATATCGAAATCGTACATTGGCACAATGGCCGACGATTGTTCAACGTTTCATTAACCTTCGGACAGCTGATGGTTTTACATTCACGCGTAGATACCGATCAAGCGTTGTTTTCCAACTCAAAATGCTTGAATGGAACGCGGCTTCGATCGACGAAACAATGAAACGCGGATGTTG